CTGTGCGTGTGACCATTTCATGTTCCCTGCAGAAATCAATCATTACAGTAATCTTCCTCCAGATGGTTTCGAGTTGGGGTGCTCTGAAGCTCTGCCTGTGTGCTACTGTAAATGACACAAATGCTTTCAACGCAGTACGATGCAGTGCGTATCGGTGTGAGCAATGACGTTCTTGGAATACCTTAAGAGTATGCTTGTGTAGTAAAACTGTAGACTCTTACCTCAGCTGTAGGTAAGAGTTGTTCCAGGCAGGCATAGGTAGGGCAGCTATTTTAGTTAGTAATGTTAAATCCAGGTTTATCTTAGAACCTTGTGAGCCTTCTGGAAGAGAAACAGACATAACTCAGGCAACAAAAAATAAGAGTTAAATACATACAGTTCCAAGTTTCAACACAATGTTTTTAAGGTTTTAAGCTTATGAATTCTTTTTAAAACTTTGTGACTTCATTAAATAATAATCTAAAATATTAATTTAAATTACATACACTACAGCTCAGTTCTGTCTAATACCTGCCTTTGTCATTTCGTTTTTAACTAAAATGACAACAGGAATCTTGAATTTACAGTCCAGGGCTGAAGAGAAAGAGATAGCAGTAAAGGAGATTCACAAATTTTTTCTCACACCCTGGGAAGACCAGCTGATGTTACAGTATTTATATGATTGAAGGTTTGCTTGTTGTTTAGTTAAATAATATCATCAATGTAAATAAAGCATAAAATGGGCCAGAAAAATAGCTCAGCAGACTAAAGCACCTGCTCAGGGAGGAACAGGGACCAGGGTTCAATCCCTGGCATGCCACACTGGCCCTGCCCCCAGGGTGCACTGAAAATTGACTGAGATTGTGCATGGTGGCATGCACCTATAATCCAAGTGCTTGAGAGATTGAAAACAGGAGGATCACTACAAGTCTGATCTGTGTACTGAGACCCTGTAGCCCATGAAAGACAAAGTGATCACAACATATATTATCAAATTCATATGTAAATGTAGTTTTAGTTCAAATATCTCTTTTACCATTTTAAATCAGTGCTGATAGTTAAAATTGTGCTATTTTATAGGGCTTTTCCATTTGGCTTTATTTATTTATTTTTAATTTTATGTATTTGGTACAGGGTCTCACTATGTAGCTTGTACTTGTAGAGGTTCCTCCTGTTTTCAGCCTCCCCAGTACAGGGATTACAGGTGTGTGCCACCACTCCCAGAGTCGGTAACCAGCTCAGCATGCGATGCCCGGGATCAAACCTAAGTCCCTGAATTTGACTACACAGGCACTTAGTTAGCTGAACTGTCTTACTGGTCCTCATTTGACTTCAAATGTGTTTTGATTTTATAGCATAGCATGAGATCTACAAGATTGTGGCAAGTGTTATGTTTATATACTTAAGTAACATTATAATAAAATAGCTTGTAAAGTCTAGAGCTTAAAGTTTTGGTTTTTTTTTTTTTCTTTTAAATTACAAATCACTTATAAGAGACAATGATGCAAAAAAAATAAAAAAAATAAAAGAGACAGTGATGCAATAAATAGCTTCAACCCTCCCATTCCTTGTCTACTTCATTCTTGGTTGCAATACTAAATTTTTATTTTCCAAAATACTTATTTATGTAGTGTAACAGTTGATTCAGTAAAGGTTTTTAAAGTTAGAGACTATAGGCACAAATTTGTAGCACTGGTTCTAGTGTTATGAGACCAATTTCAGACCCCAAAAGAAATTGTATACTTCAGGTTTACAGTAACAGAAATGTCATCAAATAGAAACAGCAGTGTCTCACAAGATTTTTACAAGTTTTATGATATCTTTTATTGAATGAAGCTACATGGATCAGATCAGAATTATACAATTGTTTTGTAAAAAGTAATTTAAAACAAAATTTCCTCAGGTTAGCCATGAAGGGATGTGTTTTACTATATCATCTAATGCTCATTTGTAAACTAAAATGACCATCTCCTCCAATTTCACCAATCTTTGGTTCTACACAAGTTAGGACTTATTTCAGTGGTATTGCATGGGTTTTCTGGCCCAAAGCTCAGACTGACAACAAGTGAGCTCACCTGATATTTTATAGGATGTATGTGAGGATCAGTCCAGGCTCCTAGGCAACTGACATTGCATGATTTGAAACCCACTTAAAATTATATATGACTAGTGGAGCATCACCTGGAGAGGCCTAATCACAATGTCTCCTGCTCAGTAGAAATAAAATGAGCTCATTCTCTGTGTCAGAATTAATCTCCATACCACAGAATAAACAATAACCTAAAATCAATGCTAAGCGACTTGATTTGGCTTATGTGCTTAAGAGATTGTACCTCAGTGTGTTTCATATATTACTTTCTTGACCTTGTTTTCTATTTCAGGTCCTACTCTTCCCAAGACTCATGTTAAAACAGCTTCTCTTGGGCTGGCTGGAAAAGCAAGATCCCCTTTGCTTCCTGTGTCTGTGCCAACAGCCCCTGAGGTGTCTGAGGAGAGCCACAAACCATCGGAGGATGCAGCCAACGTAAGGGCTCCCTTCGTGTTCTTGTTGTGTTGAGGGAAATAGGCGCTGGTGCTGTGCAGCATGGTCTCAACCAGTCAGCACTTGCCATTAGCGCTGGGCACAGTTGTTTATCTGCACTTGAACATAAGAAGGATAAACTTTAGAGAAAAAAATATATCAGTGATTTAGTTAAAACATTTTATTGATATTTAAGGGTGGTCTTAAGAAATACAAGTCATATAGCTATAGAATAAATGACTTCTACACATATGTAACATACATACATACACACATATATTAGAGATATATACCTAGATAGACAAGACAGACAAAAAGTACAGTAAATGCTGTCAATTTCCATCCAATGGAAAGACAGAGATATTTGATATAAGAAATGGACTTATAAAACTTAGGTGCCTGACAAGTTTCAGCTTCTGCAGTTGGTTGGTTGCAAGCTCTAGTTGACAGAAGATGTGTTTTAAGGTGAGCCTTAAATCATAGATCTTAATGCATTAACATAAGACTTTGTTTCATATCACAAAAATGTGTTAAAGAAACATAGGAAATGCAGTTTACGGTGAAGCTTCTGTAGCCATAGAATGACTTATAAGTGGTTCAAGAGATAGTAAGCCTTGAGAATCAGTTAAGGACAAGGAGAGATCAGGATATCCTACAATGTCAAAACTCCAAAAGAATGCTGAAAGAGTAAGTGAAATGATGTAGTCATACAACTGTCGAATATTAAGGAAATGTTTGAGTATCTAAATATTTCTTATAGTTCCATTCAGAACATCTTAAGAACATCTCAAGAAAAAAAAAAGGTACTGAGTACAAAATTTATTCCACAGATTTTGACTGTCAGACAAAATCAACAGTGTTAATCAATTTCATTGGAGTTGCATGATCATACAGCTTCAAATTCCAGTATTTTAAGTAGTGTCACGGGAGATAAAACTTGAGTCTACGTTTATGAGCATGACCGAGGTTCAGAGTTCTCAGTAGAAATTAACCAGGTCTCCTGCAAAGAAATTCCATTAATCAAGATGATGTAAATTGTGGCTTTTATTTTTTAAGGATTACAAAATATTAGTAAAACAGAAAGAATTGCAAGTGATACAGAATTTCACTTAATAAATCAAAATGAATTACACAGTATTTGTTGTTCCACAACATGAGCATAGTGTTGTCTTCCAACCAATTATTCATATTACCAAATATATTCATGCAAAATTGGAAGAAGAAAGAAAAAAGAAAAAATGTACAAGAAGTTAAAGAGAGAAAAAGCACAAACAACTGAAAAAAGGAGACAAAACAAATTCAGCATTAACTTCTCCTTTCCATAGATCAGCAGAAATGCACAGTACAGCTGTCCAAACCATCCTGCTTACATACACAGATACATCTCTTTCCTCTACTCCCTCTCCTGACCTTCTCCTCAACTCAGTGACTCTTTCCATTTGAATAAATTCATTCTCTTTTCCCAGTATCTGTTGTACCCTTCAGATTCCAATCTGCTGAGCTACTTGACTGGCCCTGGAAAAATATATTTTGACCAAAAAATTATCTGTTAAGTATGGTTTTTAAGGGAAATTAAAAGGTGTTTCTTAAACACAGGTATTTTCATTACTTTAGTATGTTTCTGACATGTGCTTACACTAAGGAGACAGTATGATGTTTGCACATGCATGTCTAATTTATTTCACTTACGAGTGTGTTCTTTAGTTGCATCCATTTATTGATAAAAAAATTGTGTGTTTTTTTTTTTTTTTTTTTTTTTTTTACCATGATGGACTCCTGAGAGTTGAGCTTCTACCCAGGAACAGTACAGTGAATACTGACTATTACAAGATCTTATTAAGGTGTTTAAGAAACCATATGCTTAGCAAATGGCCTAAGAAATGGACAGTTTGTCCTGTATCATGGTATCGCCTCACATTATACACCACTTCTGGAAGGGCAATTTCTGTCAAATACAGATGTTGTGGAGTGTCACCATGCACTTTGCCCACTAGATCTGACACCATGACACTTCTTGGTCTTCCCCAAAGACAATATGGCCATGAAAGGTGAAAGGCAGAAGGTTGTGATTCATTTGAGCACCTCAAGGCAGGCACAAGTGTACAAATAAAGAAACAGATAATGAAAGAAGACTTCTAGGCAGGAAGACAAGAACACTAGCATCTGTGTACTTGGCAAGGAGGGGAATATTTCGAAGGGGAATAATAGCAGTGTGTCTTTTACTGTAGTTTTTTTTTTTTAACATTGACCATGTATGTAAGTAACACCATGTATATCCTTTTCAATGGTATAAAATACCATGGCATTCCTGGAAATAATACTATATAGTTATTTCTTGCTATTAAAAAGTAACAATATATTCTGAGGAATATATTTAACAGCATTAGAAAACAGCATTTTCTAATGCTGTTTATATTACATTTAAAACCATGAAATGTCCTAGAAATATAAATTGAGAAGAGAAAAATATAAAATGAAGCAAGGAGTTTAATAACACAATGAATGGATATATTTAGAAAAAGAATTTTCATTATTTAAAGAAGGACACAACTATATAGTAGAAGAAGAAACTGTAAGTGATTAAATTAGAAGTGTAAGTGACTAAACTCAGAAAATAAATAAGGGAACAATATATTTTGACCAAAAAATTATCTGTAAAGTATACTTTTTAAAGGAAACTAAAAGGTGTTGCTTAAACAAAGATATTTTCATCACTTTAGTATGTTTCTGAATAGATAACAAGAGAAAAATATTTTAAAGGAAGAAATTAACTTGCCAGATACTTCTAATAAATAAGGAACAAGAAGGAGAAAAAATGAAAAAGCAAGATTAAAGTTTATTTTTTTGTTACAGTTGAAATTTTTCATGGTAAATTGTGAACCAACTTATGTTTTCATCATCTATAAATAAGAGTTTATGCAAAGTACTCTAATAATTTGATAAAGAAAACTGTAACAATACAAAGAATAAATAGGTCACATACAATCTACCCTTTGTATGTCTTGCAACTAATGGTTTTCTTTAATAAGGTATTTTTCTTTGAAACCTGCTTATTAAAAAGAAAGGATTATTTCAACTAAATGAAGAATTATACATTTTTTTACTTTTGTCTTCAATACTATAGACAATAAAATAGTTTATTTGGAAAACAAAAAAGTTGAATATACTTATGAGTGAAAATGATGGTCAGAATAGTATTACTCAGCACACTTTTTAAAAGATTCAAATTTAAGCCGGGCGTGGTGGCACACACCTGTAATCCCAGCACTTGGGAGGCTGAGGCAGGAAGATCACTGTGGGTTTGAGATCAGCCTGGGCTATAAAATAAGCTCAAGGTCAGCCTGAGATGCATAGCAAGACCCTGTCTCAAAAAGACAATAAATGAATAAAGAAAGAAAGAAAGAAAGAAAGAAAGAAAGAAAGACTTCAAAAGAGCCTAGTAGTCCACTGTTAGAGTGTTTCTGTTTGGTTCAATATTTATTTAATCCCATAATTTGTGGCCTAGTGTCAGATCAGGTTAAACTCCTAA